TCCTTTCCCCAATTACATATTTTTAATTCTTTCCTGAAAAGGGGGAGAAGGCAGTAATTGTTTTATTTAGTCTGAGGCTGAAACCCTGCACACATTCACTCTGGAGCAAGCCCTCATCAACATGGTAGAGCTCGCTGCTGAGCTGTCTTGGATATATCCGTATGGCTAGTTTCTCGCCGAAAATGCAAAGCATTTCCCAACCGCAGGCCAATTTCCCGAAGGAACGTGTGGTTTCAGGTTCAAAAGAGAGCAGCACGTGGTAAGTAACGTCCCAGCAATTGCACGGCATCAGAAAGAAACAACCAAAGGAAAGCTTTATCCGCCCAGCCAGTGGTGAGGAATTGACCCTCTTTGCAGAGACTGTCCAAAACGCCTCGATAACCACAAGCTGCTTGAGGGGGCCGCCGGCTTTCTGTGAGGATCGAGCAAAAGCATCCCTGAGCCCTGCCGCATCTTCCTCCGGAGGAGGGTGGCATGAGCGTCTCGGGATGATGGCCTGGCCTGGCCTGGCCTGGCCTCACAGAGATGGAGTGGAAAGAAGCAAGTGAGTCATGCAAACCCTTGGAAGGCAGGTGAGCTGCAGAGAAGGCCTGTCCAGGATAGTGCCAATCCATCAGGGGTGTAAGGAAGGCACTCCTGCGAGCTGGTCCTTCTAATCCACTCACACTTAAGTCCCTTTCCCTTAAAAAATCAGAATAAAGGCATGCCCTCCCCATTGTGAGTGAACCCAGCATCATCATCATCATTGATGCACAGTGCCCAAAAGAACCTGTGTGACACTGGTGGCTTATCTGAGATGTAATTCAAATGTTCTGCGAGTCACAGAAGTTTAATGGGCTGTTCTGCGCAAGGGGTCGGATTTTTTGTGCGGTGTCATTCGACGTGGCAAGAGACTGAACGAGGTGGAGTTGCTTCTTGGCCAACTTGCGGTCTCTGCTATGTATGCCTTAACAGAAAAAGAGAGAGGAGCTTCTTTTGCTCCCGAATAGTGTTTCCATTTTAAAACACTCAGTCCAGCTGCTTCCACAGGTAGGAGCATCGATTTGTCTCGCACATCCCGAAGTGCTAGGAATCCCGCCCTCAGAAGAAAGAAATGAGTTGTCCAGGGCTGAGCGATTCAGGGAGACAGGATTCTGTTCACACGACACTATTTCTTATTTTACACATTTATATACCGCCTATTTCGCTCACAATATCTCTGCCAGCCCCTCTTCAAAATCCGCTTCTTCCAGCACCCTTCCCAGCCCAAGGCAATCCTGAGGAGGCAAGTTAAATGGAAGCCAGTCCTGTTGAATAAATTGGACAGTAGGTCAGAGGAAATGCAAACCAGACTGGACTCGCAGCACTTTCTGTCCCTCCCTCTTTCTCTGCCTCCCCTCGCCATTGAAATTAAAATCGCAGGTTTGGTGAGGCAAAGACCTGGTTCTCTCACTGACTGGTCTATGTAATGAACCACACCAGACACTTCCAGTCCATACAGCTGGAAGCTCGCCTTCCCGTCGGACTGTCACATGGCCCGCCTTCCCCATCCCGGTGCCCTCGATTTGCACAGCCTGAGACCGCCCGGATTCCCAGCCAGCGTGGCCCTTAGTAGGGCGGCTCCAGTCCCGCACGTCAGGGCGATGCTCACTAGGGCAGGCAGCCGCTGGTGGATGATGTGGGAGGTGCACAGACCGCTCTTTGCGGATTAGCTGGGGATGCGGTGGGTGGGGCGGGCGGAGGAAATGCGTTGTGGAACAGTTGGGCGTGCGGATAGAGACCGGGTCCACGGTGAGCGGAGATTGCTGTGGAAAGGGAATCTTTTCTCCTGGGCTCAAGAGCCCTGCTTCTCACACACACACACACACACACACACACACACACACAGCGGATGCTGGCAGGGCTCAGCCTTGGAAGGTGGGTGAACCTTCCTCCACGGAGGCGACGGCCTGGAGGTCTGTAGGAACACGCAAGGTCCTACGGCCGTGGGGTGGCTTAAAACCGTTTTAGCCTCGCATGAGAACGAAGGCTGAGATGATGGTCCCATAGCCAAAAACAAAAATAAAGCTTTGGGATCCTGTTTTTGCGGGCTTGCACATTTAATACAACGGGAACACAAGCTGCAGAAAAAGGCCTAAGGCGAATCTTTATATGAATGAAGTTTGGCCATGTAAATAAAACTTTCTCAAGTCTCTGAACAAACTCCTTTGCATTTATGAGGGGAAAAAGCCCGTTTTCCCTGGCTTGACTTTCCATGAATACTCTTCTCAACATTTCAGCGAATATAGTTTTGAGTTTTATAGGAATGCATAAACATATCCCACTTAGGGCACTAAATTAAATTACCATATATTTAGCTATCTGTGACAACATGTACCAAACGGACTGTGTAAAAGCCATGCAATTAAATCTATATTGGGCACTTACATAAAACTGTGGTCAAAATTTCAGTGGTGTTCAGTATTGTACATTCCAGTTGAAGTCACTGGGAACTGCAGGTACTTGTCCTTTCAGACCAGCTGGCTCGTTAACGCTGCCAACTGGAGGCCAGCAGCCTGAAATGTTTTCAGTCTGATTCCTTCTGATTTTGCTTGCTTTAATCAGAATATGCTGATCACACTGGCTGATCTAGTATGTTATGGCATCGTAAGCTTAAAAAGCCGTGCACCTTAAACCTGGCACTGAAACAGTCACGTTTAGGATCTGGCTTTTAATATAACAAGGTAAGCTGCTAGACCTCATGAATGTACAAAAACAAAACAAAACAACCAACCAACCTTTAGAAGTCTTAAGCGAAGCAAAAAACCCCTTTGAATATCGAGGAATATGCTTCCTATGACAGAATTGTCCCTTAGCTCGCAACTCATGAATTCTGCTATTTTTGTCCGGTTCATGGCGCCTATTCTTTCTAGGCAATATTCAGCAGGCCATGCTTGACAGAAGAGTTGGATGTGAACCCAGTCTCTGAAACCCAGGGAAAGGAGGTGTCATTAAAGCCCAGTGAAGCAAATTCAGTCCCAGCTAACTTGATCCCTGTTGCTTTCAGTGGGGCTTCCATTTAGCTGTGATTCGGCTTGTTTAGTAATTTCAGTGCGATGGTTGGAACTGGGTTGTAGCCTGTGTTTACATCCTCTGTCCTGGCAGGTGAAGGTCCGCCCCTGATTTTCTTCTTCGTGTGCTTCACCCCCCATCCCCACATCACTGGCCTCATGCATGTGCCCCCAGCTTCAGTGTTGTCTTCATTGAAACAGCCTGAATTTTGCAATGAAAATGCATTTCTGTTGGAACAATGTCCATAGCATTGAAATGGTTTTCTGTCGGCGTTGTATGGTGGGCATCCCTAGGATTCTGTATACAAAACTAGCTTTGGGCACCAGAGAGTGTGGTTTATACTCTTGTCTGTCTTTGACTCAATGCTCTAAAAGCAGTTCAACTCGTTAAACAGCGACTGACCTCTTTTCTGGAATAATGTGTAATTGTCCAGCCTTCACTGAATCCTTAAAATGGGATTGGAATCCCGTCCCTCAGATCAGCTTTTCTCTGCTGCACTGCATTGGTGCTGCCTTATGCTTGGACTTCATGGTCACTAACTTTTTGATGGGAGGCAATGCAGTTCATATCCTCAGAGCATCTGGAAAATAAGGCTATAGGACTGGTTTGTGTGTAAAAATATAGGTGTGGTGGTCTTGAATGCAGCAAAGTTGCCAGCTAGTCAATCTTTTGCTAATCTCACTGGCAACGCTGGATTATGTCAGGCCTTAGACGCGAATTCTTTAGGCTTTGGCCCTCTATGCTCTTTCTTCTGTTTATGACAGTCAAGGAGGTGATATTTTAAAATACGAATAACAGCAACCCTGGAGGTGTTCCAGATGTGCAGCTGTTGATGCCCCAGTAGGATGTCTCTGGATAACAGCTGCTGAGGACCAAAAAGAGGGGCTCTTGCCATCAGGCCCCAATCTGTGATTTTCTTGAGGGCATCTGGTAGACCTTTGGTCTGATCCAGCAGGGTGGTGCCTTGTGTTCTTTTATGTCACAGCTGCGAGTCCATGTGGTCATAATTGCACAATACTGCCTTGTAAAACAAGTAAATCATCCGGACAACTCCAGGAAACTCCCAAGGCCCTTTTTAGTGGTCTGAGAGCTCCTGCGTCCTGGCTTCTTTCCATGCCACTTGGAGTCATGCTAGAAATCCCAGGCCACGGGAAGGACAGCGCTGCACGCAGCCACTTCTTCCACCCTGGGTTGTCCCAGTTGCCATGTGACTCAGGGTTTCCAGTATCACCCAAGAGGTGCCCAATGAAGCAGCACTATTGTGGTAACTCCCATGACTCAGAGATGTGGCACCACACGGGGCTTGGCAAGCCATTCTGCACAATATGCAGAACAGAATGTTGCATTGTAGAACAGTTTCCAACTGTGCTGCCTTTCGGCTCACATGGATACAAATGACTAGTGCCACTGAGGCTGTAGTTTCAGTTTTGGCAGAATGTGGCCCATCCCACATAATTACAGTCATCGTCATTATTAATTACATTTCTATACTTCCAGTAGCCAAAGCTCTCTGGGCAGTTCACAGCATTAAGTCACCCATCCAGACTTCGGCCAGGCCCGACCCTGCTTAGCTTCCAAGACGAGGCAGGGTCAGGCACCGAAGGAACGGTATCGCTCTGAAAAGGGGGTGCACGCTGGCGCATGTGCCTCCATGCCTCAGGCTCCCTGAACCGAGCCAGATAGTACCCAGAGGCCAAAGAGTCTGTGCACATTAAGTTTTTATGCCCCGTTAACCGAGCCGGAATCTCCCCGTGGGGGTTGGCTGAGAGTGACTGACGTCCCTTTTTGTGCCTCTTCGAACCTTTTATTTGGCCAGGGCGGCTTATTTTATATTGCATTTTATTTTAATGTATATATTTTAATTTTTACTTTGACGACCTAACTTATTGTTGTAAGCCGCCCCGAGGCTTCGGCGAACGGGGCGGCATAAAGATGTTTTAATAAATAAAATAAATAAATCCTGTTCCTAGGAGAGAAGCCGTACAAGTGCACCTGGGAAGCGTGTGACTGGAGATTTGCCCGCTCCGATGAGCTGACCCGCCACTTCCGGAAGCACACCGGCTCCAAGCCCTTCCAGTGCGTCGTGTGCAGCCGCAGCTTCTCCCGCTCCGACCACTTGGCTCTGCACATGAAGCGGCACCAGAACTAGACGGACCCGGTCCAGCAGGCTGTTGGTATCTATGCAACGTCCTAGTGACTCGAGTAGATAAATTCGGTTAGAATTAGCCAAGCGTTTGACTCTGTACAAACTCTTTCTCCTTTTGAAAACAGGAATAAAATAGTAAAAGAAACTGGAAATGTATATTTTGTATATTTATAAGGAAACAGGGAAGACACTGTGTTGCAATACTTGGATCAGTCCACCATTTTAAGGCCACATGACTTAATGTCTTTGTGTACCTGATCTTTAATCGCCCACAGGTTTCATCTCGGGGCTGCCTGCCATGATGAATATTTTGCAGAGCTGGGTCAATAGGTTCCATATATGCACATGCAGAAATACCTTGTACACGTTGCTCGTGTTTCTGGCTTCCGTGCATACCTGTGATGCCATTTTCTGGATCCAAGAGCCATTTATATGTGTTTGGAAACCAGGCTAAATGAATGGCCACATTTGCATGTCAGTTTAAGGTTTAAACCGTGGATTGTGATTTAATAAACCAACATGTGAACAAGCAGCATGCTAATAAAGATAATCAGTAAGGAAAACTCGGCAAGTATCAAACCAGGAATTACTGGTTTGTGGTACCCAAACCTGGTTTAAACTAGGCTGCCCTGTTGGCTTACAAATCTTAATGAGTTTGAGGCCAATAAATTATAGATGCTGGTTTCAGCATCTCACAAAGCTCTTGCTTTCTTGTTTTGTGGACCTGCGCATGCAAAGAAAGTGTAAAACAGAAGCAAATGGATTCTGTTTCCTAGTGCACTATTTATTTGTAACCTTGGTTTGTTAAGCCATGATTTGTGGCTTTGAGTGACATGCAAACGTGGCCAGTGTGTTTCTGCATTCCGACAGAAAGACACACACATTGTGTGCAAACTGTTAAGTCACTCCTTCCTGTCTTTGGGCGACTGACACAGTTACACCACGGTTGTAGAGCATTCCCTTTCCCCCGAGAACTCTGAGCACTGTTCTTTTGTGATGAGGATTTCTGACAGACCAAACCACAATCCCCAGGATTATTTGAGGGGACCAGTGGCAGTTAATTGGTATAAAGCTGATGCAGATTTGTTGTATATTATGTAAGCTGTCTTGAGTTCTTGGAAGGAAAAAAGGTGGGATATAAATATAATAATAATGATGATGAGGATGATGATGATGTTCCCTAGCTCACGCCTGCAAAATACAACATGGAAAGTATGTCCCTACATTTAAGTTCTGTTTTCAAAACCTCTGGTATCTATATTTTTAGGGTCCTGACCAAAGCACGCTTGCTCTGGTAAGCAGTGTTTAGGAAATCTAGCCCAAATTGAATTTACAGTGAAATGAATTTAGAGGACAAGCCACAATCTATTCTCTGTCAGAATTTTACTGGATGTTTTAATACATGTGTTATATTTTTTATATTTTTTTCTGTGGAGATGAAAAATATATATAGGCAAATTAATAAACAGCCATAGAACAAAATGTTCTGTATGTTGCATGTTTGCTATGACAAAGATTTTGTAAATAAGCAAATCAGCTTTTAATGTTTTATTACAAAAGAATTTTCTAGAAATCAGCTGGGAAAAGAAGTGGACATCTTTTGGCAGTTTAATATGGCACATCTGATATTCGTTCGTTCTTAAATACCTCTCAAAATGGTACCACCTTAGTTGTTTTTAATGAGCTAGCCATTCAGACGCTTCTTGTTCACACAGAGAAATGATGCACTGAGTTTTCAAAACAAGATTGAGGTTCCCCCCCCCATCTCTGAGAACAAAATCTTTGCAAAATATGAACTGTTAAGCAACTGTCAGAAGCTTAAATAGCAAGGGTGGCTATAATACATAATGTTAAACCTCTTACTATAAGCTAAACTTAATATTGCTTTAAAGAGAAGGATTTGGAATGTGATTTTTAGAATATGAAAACACTAAGCTGGTTCAGTACCAGCCGAATCTTAATTCTGTGCGGGGTTTTGCCCCTAATTCAACTGTTTAGCTGCCTGGTTGCCTGCCTCCTCCTTTTAAATAAGCTCCACTTGCACTGACCAGCTGTTGGGGACGTAGAAGAGGAATGACTTTGGTGTGAATTGTAGCTTTTTCGATGTACTTGTCCAGCCCTGGCGCCCGAGTCTGTTTAGGGAATCCGATGCACGGCATCGTGTGCTCTGCTTGTGCCGATTCCCTGTCCGGCTAGCGCTGTGTGTGTCTGTCCGTCCGTCTGTCTGTGTATCATGCATAGTTGGATTTGGAATCCGTAGATTTCCAAAGGGTCAAGGATCATGCCATTAAAAGAGATCCAAGAATGCGTTTTTAAAATTTTCCCGCGCATTCAAGTTGTAACACCAAGAGGAGAGAGTCTCTGGTGGTAGGATTCAGACCCCAGCTGCCGAGGGCCAGGAGCTCGGTGGGCATGTTTCTGCCTATACTTAGATTCTTGCCAGCTTCATCAAACCTGCACAGTTGCATCTCCATTTATTCCTGCTGAAGCTGGTGGGGAAACACTACTGCTGCGAATGCCGCAGCGTTTATGTATCTCAAACCATCTGAGCACCGAAAAAAGCCCACAGCTGGGGCGCTGCAGAAAGCAGAGGAAAGTGGCCAGGGCAGCGCCAAAACTGGCAAGCAAGGCAGAGGAGGAGTCCCACAAACTTTGTGCCAAAATGTGATTGTATGACTCAAATAAAATGACCCGGGGCATTGCGGTGGCTTGCCTTCACGAGGAATAGTGACACTCATTCACCAGATCTCTCAGCGTTCTGTTTATTCATAATGTAAATTAAGCAGAACCTTTTCAGACTAATTTTGATACAGCACAAGTCTTCATAGCTTTCCGCCAACTTCAGGGACAGAAAGAGAAAAAGCTGAGGGGAAGCAGGAGAAGGCAGTGGACATGGTAGTTACTCTCAGTAGCCCTTGCTCTTGGGAGACTCTTGGGAGCAGTACATCTTAAATGGTTAACTGTGCTTAACAACATTGTATTTACGCAGCTCAGCGGGACTTAAGCCCAGGTCCATAGAAAACTGCAGCCTACCTTGGAAGAAGCGCACCCCAAAGAACAGAGTGGTGTATACCTGTGATCAGTATTTAGCCATATGGCCAGAAGGTTACTGCACCCTCTGCACAACACACAACACTTTTAAGGGCATTTCCCAAATCAGGAGAACATCTTCCAGTAGTTTCCACGCAGGTGCACTCAAAAAGCATCAGAATGTCTTTATTCCATTTCCCCATTGGCACCAGCTCGTGGCCCATCACTTAGATGTATACCTGGATTGCAAGAACTCCTGGCTTGGGCCTTGGAGTTCATGCATGGCAGAACGTAAGCAACTGGCATTTTGGCAAAAGCTTTAAAGACCTTCACTGAGATGACTGGGCTGAAGAAAGCATAGTCTTGCAAAGGGTCAAAGCTGCAAGAGCTGGACTGTAGCTTTCAAACTTCCTGCTTCCAGGAGATCTTTCCCCATGTGGACTCTTCTGCTTTTCTCCCATAGAACTCCTCCACATTGCAAAGGATGCCAGAGCATGCTCTAGGGGGGGACACCAATTTGAATGGAACATTTCCTGGGCCTGTTGGATCGCTTTGTCATCTATAAGCTCCAGAGCACAGCAGTCACTCCAGCAGGGAAAGGTGATGGACAGGTTGCCTGCCAGGAAAGTGGGTGACCATTACTCATCGGTGGGTCCCAAATAGGATTCCACAGTACACCTTAAAAAACAGAAAATTGTGAGCTTGGAGTAGCGATGCACGAATGCCAATCTCTTCATTGCAACTTCAAATTTGTCCTATAATGTTTTACTCCAAGTAACAGGTGAGACGTACCAGCTGCACAGCGTGGTCATAAGATGGGCAGCACCGTAAGCAGTTTGTCCACACCAAGTTGTGAACCTAGGAGTTGACTGGCATAGTGAGAGTCCTTCCCACTTCCTAACGGCTAGCCAACCACCCATTTAAAAGCTCTGGGTCAAAAGTAAACATTAGATGTTTCGTTTTGTTCTTTGCAGTGCAACTTGATACGCATATACTTAGAAACCAGTCCCCTTGAATTCAGTGGGATTTATTCCCAGGTAGAGAGGTGTGTATGTGTGGGATTGCAGGTCCTTTACAATCCCAGGATTGTACCCTAGTGTAAGAGTGGAAGCATATCTTGCAAGCTGATGTTTCTTAGTTGGATCAGACCATCCCAGGGATGGAGGAAGCAGATTCCTGGTTTCTGGAGGGGTGGACGGGGGTACAGTGACTGGATAGGACTGGCAGAAGGCAAGAAGTCCTGGTGGGAGCTCACAGAACTCCGCTCACAGCCACTGAGCTGAAAAATGCTGTCAACCAAAGGGCAAAATTAAAGGGTACGATCCTATGTAAAATTAGACAGAAAAATGGCACACAACTCCCAGCAGCTGCCCAGTGCATCCTGGGACTTGTAGGCCCTTTTCCTATCTAGACTTGTATAGGATTGCCCTATAACTGACATGCCAAAAAAAAAAAAGTCTCAAAGCAAAACTTCGTTCAGACTATTGTTCATGTGTTTTATTTATTTTTGTGGTATATGATAGAAATTTTTTAGAAAACACTTTTCCATAAACTTGATAAATTAAAGTTGTTTGTTATCGCTTTTTTTAAAAGTGTTGCTTTTAATTGTAAATAGATGATGGAAAAAGATGTACATATTTTGTTTTGTAAGGCTTCAAATGTTTAATCATGGAAAAACTCAAACATATATTGGTTGCTGTTTTGCTGCTTTCCCCAGCCCCCTTCCCCTCCCCCTCCCCCTATTTTTGTATGGTGATATATACCCTATGCAAACGATTGCGCAAACAGCTGTAACATTGTGGAAGAAAGATCAAAATGGTTTATATATGAAAAGACAAATTCTTTTTTGGACAATAAAAAAGTGCCTAAAAGCATTTTGTGTGTTTACGTGTGTGTGAGACAAAATGAGGAAAAGCATCCTTTCATTTTTGTAACCATCTAAGTATATTTTGGGATTTTTATTTAAGCTTTTATCTAAGCTTATTTAAGCTGATCCACCTGTAACGCATTTCTAAATTCATAAGTGCTTGTTCGTGTCTAAGTCTGCCTTCCCCAACTGATGGGTTGGGCTACCCATCCCCGGCAGCAGGGATGATGGGAATTGTCCAACATACTGGGACATCCCCAGGTTGGAGAAGGTGGTTGCAGCCCACTTACGGCATGTTTAGAAAGCAAACACGCCGCATCTAGCATTTGTCTGAATGCTGGGAATTGTAGGACTTCCTGTTTAAACATGCATAGGATTGTACCTTTAGAGCAGTAATTTTCTTTCTTGGTTGTGCTGCTCGGATAAGCCATGAAGATTTACTTAAATAATGGAAGGTTTCTGTACCCTCAAATAATCCATTCTCCGAGCTCACATTCAGTAGAATCAGCTATAATTCTGCACATGCCTGGGATGTCTCCCGGCACTCTTGGTGCTGCGTACGAAATTCCACGACAATCCCAGCATTGTGGTTTGGAAGCATTTTTGGATTTGCATTCTTGGCCAAGCGAATTTCCCCTAGACCCTGAATGTGTCCCCAGCATCTTATCCAAGAGACAGGCCGCTTTTGCAAAGCAAACTTGGTGCAATTCCTGTTCTCCGTCCTGCCGGCAGTCGCACATGTGAAGAGTTGCTTGCTCCACAGCAAGTGCGGTTTGTCCCCAGGCAGCTGGTGGCCCTTCTTCCCATAGGTGAATCGGAGCATCATCTCGGATAACAGAGACTGTGCCAGGTGGTCTTGGCCCTACCTAGAAATGTTGGGGATTGAGCCCGGGAATTTTGCAAGCAAAGCACAAGCTGGGATGCACCGGACCCGCACGCTGGGATGCACTGGAGCCGAATGAAAGGGTACAATTGCTTTCTGGTTGTACAAAAGCAATTGTACCCTTTCATTTGGGTCCGGTGCATCCAAGAGAAAGGTAGAAATGGACCCCACTGCTGTTGATGCACTGATTCAATAGCCGCATTTTGCCTATCCTTCCTTGGAGGGAAGGCAGCCAGCTGGACTGGCCCAGACTCTTGAGACTGGGAGGCAGTCTGCTTGTTGGGTCCTTCCCCCTGTGCTTCCCAATCGGGTAGAAGGGAGAGGGCAGAGAGACCTGCCACAGGTTCCAGATCCTGCATTGAGCTTGGTGCATAGAGTAAATTCTCGACGGACAGTCCCTCATGCATGGGCAACACTTGGGACACAACAGTGGGGACAAGAGCTTTCTGCCCAGGAGGAACTAGGCTGTATGGGCAGCACACCCCCACTTGGTTTTCTCCATGAGCAAGACCCCATCCCTCCCACTGGCTAAGCTCTTGCCTGCTCTAGCAACTTTGCTACCCAGGAAGGGTTGCTCATTCACCCAGCTGGGGGGACCACTGTGTGAGCATCCTTCCGAGAAGCAACCTCCCTGGACGAGGCAATGCCGACTTGCAGCGTGGACCTCCATGCATACCTTTGCTGTTGTTTAGTCATGGACAACATTCCTCCAGGCTCTCCTGTCCTCCACCATTGTCCGGAGTCCACCTAGGCCCACACCCTCTGCCCCAGTGACTCCATCCTGCCATCTCATCCTCTGCCGTCCCCTTCTCCTTTTGCCATCTATTGTTCCCAGCATCAGGCTCTTCTCCAGGGAGTCCTTCCTTCTCATTAGGTGGCCAAAGTATCTGAGTTTCATCTTCAGGATCTGGCCTTCTAAAGAGCAGTCAGGGTTGATCTCCTCAAGGACTGACCAGTTTGATCGCCTTGCAGTCCAAGGGACT